GTGCCAGTGCTACTGGAGTTGTGCTAGATGGGGCAGCCGTTTAAACAGTTTAAATGTTAATGAACTATTCATTATTTTCAATTAACTGATTMATTTTAATTTTAAATGGACGCTGTAGAGCCGTGTGTGGGTTTTGTCGAGCTGCGGTGCTGAGGTTGCTTTGAGAGGGAGCAAATCAAAGCTGGGGTGGTTTTGTTACTGGGGTGATTTTTGCTACTCSAGCAGGGTGTGAATGAGCACCAGCACYRGGCAAGGGTGTCCTGACAGCACAGRACTCCARSCTGGGCAGTAAAACTGGCAGAGCTGGCTGCCTGCAGCCCGCTGTGGGTCAGGAAAGTGTCATCAGCCATTCAGAGAAATCCTGAGCTCCTGTGAATCTGAAGCCCAGCAAGAACCTGTTCTTTCTCCACATTCCTCTCCCTCCAACAAATAAAAAACAGCTCCCAAATAAAGTGTGATTTCACTTAGATGGCATGAAGTGTATGCCAGGAGTCAAACGATGCAGAGAAAATTTCCAAGCGCCCTGGAAGGACTTTGGCAGGTTCACAGCCCCGCTGGACCTCGCCCTGTTCCTAAACACGAGGTGAGTCAGGCCCAGCCCTGCAGCAGAAGCATCACTGATAAGATTCCTGTCAAGGTAAAGACATTTGTTTGGCTCTGTGGGATTCTTGAGCACTTTCCTTCACCCAAATTGCAGGTACAGTCTGAGTGCTGACAAATCACTTATGGCAAACAGCAYGTAGTTACCGCCTCCTCCTGCACTCATTAAATCTTCCTGTGGCCAAGGAACTCGATTTTAATTATCTCTGTCTTRCAGAAATGAGGCAGAGGAGGGAGGTGAGGTGTTTCCACAGCTTGCTTACCATTACTTCTCATTTACCACCAGAAATGAGAAGGCAGCTCTTAAGGTTTAATGGTTTCCCAACATTTTCCTCAAGACTTTAATTAAAAATAATAGACAAGGGCACTGCAATCTTGGATAACCTATTTTTGTAAACTCCTCTATTGTACTGCTGCCTCAGGAAGCATTTGCTGCTCAGACAGGTGAAACAGCTGAGTGATTTCACCCAGTTTAAGGAATTTTATTCACAGCAAATCTGATGGCAGTTTTAGAGCTGGATGCAGTTTGATTTAAGATGCAGGCAGACATTTAATTGTACAGCAGGTGTAATTTTCAAAACAGCAGGCTGACAACTTTTAGTTCCTCTTTAGAAGAGTTTCCTTGCCAGGAGAAGCTGGCAGGGCTGGCCCATGGGTGGGTTCTGCAATGCAATCTGCCCGACAGAGATGACAGAGATGATTCAGCACTCGTGTGTGGGGCTGATTGCTCAGGCTCTGTGCTCCAGGGACCTCCTGCTTTCTCCTGTCCCCTCCAGAGAAGGACAGACACTGCTGGGATATTCTCTGAGTCTCCAGGAGAGCAGGAKGGGAACAGGAGATTGTCCCCAAACTGTCCCTGCTGTGACTGGGCTCATGGTGAGGTGCTGATTTTAGATGTACCATGGAACAAAATGTTCCTCTCCTCAGTGTTCTCCCCAGAAAAACTGCTCTTGTGATATGAATTTACCCAGTTTGTTCTTCAGAAATTCCAGTTATTACTGATTTTCTCCCCAGACTGCTCTTTCAGTCTATTGCATCTGTGGAGTAGATCTGTGCAATACTGGACCAAAATATTTGTGAATTCTATTTAATGGTTTATATATTTCAATACATCAAATATTATGGAGGGACCTAAAACTCTCTTTACAGCTGAGTCCTGATATCACAAGTGTCATATTCCATAGAATCCCAGAGAGGTTTGGCTTGGAAAGGACCTTGAAGCTCATCTCATCCTATTCTTATATTCAGAATTCACCCCAAAATTCACAAAAATTACCATTTTTGTGGCAATTCCCTGACTGTATCATTAAARGCAGGAAAACCCAGGTTATAAAGTAATAAAAAAATCCTAATAGTAACATTTTAAGAGTAAGGGAATTGTTATTTAATCTATTCAGACTTTCCAGTTTAAATAATGTAGATACGTTTTGTTTGGGAAAGTTTAGGAGAATGAGAAGAAATTTTTATTTTTCTTAGAGTACCAAASCTGACTGGTTCTTTGTCAGCCTGTGACAGTATCAACTTTTACAACCAAGAATTACGGGTATTTTTTTTTTAACCAAAGAGATTTTATTTTCTAGGCAACAAAAGAAAACATCCAAGCAGTGATAGTGACACACGTCCCTCCAATGGAACTGATTCTCTGTCAGCAGATTCCCAATGCAAACATGATCTAGCAAAGCTCAACACTCTGGATTAAATAAAGCTCGATTCTCAAATACTGCAACTGAGAAACACCCCCCAAAAAAAAAAAAAAAAAAAAATTAAAAAAAAAAAAGTTTTACACACTGAAAAATCCACCCAGGACATGAAGCTAAAATCTAAGTGTTGCTCCCCAAAGTCAACGCAGACAATAAATATGGATTTTCCACTTGTGTTTCAGACACCCAGAGACACTCAGTGCACCTCTCTGAGGTAGGTWTTGTGTCCTTGTGACAGATGGCAAAGGGTGAGGGTCAGCTCTTTGTCCCAGGCATGGCCCTGCTCCCCTGGGGAAACTGAGGACACACCTGGGGCTCAACAGTCTCTTGGTCTCATTCCTGGCCACAATTTCAGCTCAAGTAGTCATAACACAGTGTCATCTTCAAGTTCCTTTGAACTGTCAGCTGGTTTTTTCTGTAGGTTTTGAAGCATCAGCTTCGTTAATGTTGGGTTTGGGGTTTTTTATCTCTTTTTCCTAATGACAGGCTAAAAGCAGAGCGGGGTTTAACACTGGAAGCAAAGTGGCTTTTTATGGGAACCTCCCAGCAGTGCTAATGTGTATTTTAATACTGAATTCAAAACAAACCTGGTCCATAGTGCTCTCGGTGATTCTAGGCTTTGTAGTGAATTATTCATGCCTTAATTCAGCAAAGCACTTATGTAATTATGTTCCTTCTTCAGTAAAACCCTCCTGTRTTTCAAGATGCAACTGGGAGCTTCTGCTGAGAACGTGAAACAGGATTTTTGCACAAAAGGTGGGATTTTTGCTGCACTGGTTGGGTCAGGTACCTTAGGGAACAGAGGCCTTTAAACTGGATTTTAGATTCCATGTGGGAAGTGGGTTTATTTCTGCCTCAGCCCCAAGTTGCACGTTCTCACTYCCCAGTCTAAAAGTGCAAGGAAGGTCACTCAAAACAGTAACAGAAATGGCAGGCAAAGGGTGTTTTAAAATTCAAGAAACAAGGATGTGTTGCAGGCATTTCAAATTAAAAAAAAAACCATAAATCCCCTTCGGTATTATGCACCTTTACAGCACCTTTAAAAAGCTCTCAAAAGCACCTGCTGTTCAGCTTCAAAACCCCACGGTGAGGTAAAATATCCCATGACACCAATTTCATCTTCCCTGATTCTGAACAGTCCAAGGAGTGGGGCACTTCACCCAGCTTATTTTGTTCTGAATATTCAGCTGCACCCTTCATTATCACAATGAAAGTCTTGCTACTTCCACAGTCACCGGTGACAAAAAAATCAAACACATTAAGGCAGAAAAGCAGATGAAATTTCAAGCCTCTCCTTCTGGCTCTGGCCTTCGGAGGGGCAAAAACTTTTTACCAGCAAAAAAGTGAGAACTCAACCTTAAAGTGCTCGTTTACAGTATTTGGGAAACTGGAACAGCTTAGTAACACCATGGCCGTGATTGGCTCTACTCAAGTAAAGTCTGCTTAAATGTATTTAACAGATGCAAATTAAGTCACTTCCCTAACTACTCCCTTCCCTCTTGCCAGAATTCCCAATGCTATTATGAAGAAGAATCCCAAGTATTCCAGGAAACATGCCTATGCTCTGATGCAGTGTAAACACCAGGGGGTTGAGACTTATTTTTCAAGCAACTAAAAGCTACCTACGGAGGATTAATAAGTTTTATTCAACACTTATCCATCTACTCATTAATTTAAAGAAGGCTACCTTAAAGCTTAGAGGCCATTGCTTTCCCTAAAGTTCTCTCCACACAAACTACACAGCCTATTCCTCATGGTATAKGGCAGCTCAGAGATCCTTTTTCCATTATTTGATAGTGGATATTTCCACTMCAAATCACGCACCACACAAGCAGTTTCCCCTCTGAGAGCGGCTCAGGTGTGCAGAGCCCAATTCTCAGTGTAAATCGTGCTGATATGTGTGTTTCCCAAAGCCTTTTTGATTGAATTACCCAGCAAACGTGCAGAGAGACAGRGCCTGGTTGTGTCTGCCTGCTCAGATCACACACACACACAGAAGGTTTTGAAGTCAAAGTGTGGCTGCCACCATCCTCCACCTGCCCAACTGCTATCCCTCAGCATCCCTATTCCCAATCCCTTATCCCCCAACCTGTGCGCTGGCCACCATGAAGTTAATTCGCTTTTCAAGCTCTGTGAACGGAATTTTATGATTACAAACAGCTTATCTGGGACTCCAGAATCTCATTCTGGACCGCTGAGGTAGTCGATGGCACCTTCCTCTTTCGGAGCTCACACCTCCCCGAAGTTGGTGTGTCCAGTCTCCTTGGCGTGCTCCCTGGCCTCCATCTGCCCAGTCAGTCCCTTCTGGCACACCATGCAGCGCAGGGTGAAATGATTCACATCRGTGAACTGCCTCTTCCTCCTGGCTTCATCAGCCAGCTCCAACGCCTGGGCCAGCACCACATCATCGCTGGTGGAGAAGATGGTTTGGGGGGGAATGTCTGAGGAGGGCACACGGCGCTCCAGAGGGTCGTAGTGGATGCCATCATAAATCAGCAGCACGCGCTTGCTGTAGCCGGCGTCCTCTCCGAAGCGGTCGATTCGCACCGTCTGCGTGTCCACCACGCAGATCTCGCACTGGTAGAACTTGGAAAGGATGGACACTTCGATGGCTCCTCCCCACGTCTCCTCCCTCCTGATCCAGTCACAGTATTCCCTGTTGGTTTTGCCCAGCACGGCCTCGCAGTACGACTCGGGGTCGCTGGCCACGATCTGGGCGATGAGGTTGCGCATCTCCGGGGCGCAGCCGGGGTCGTGGACGCCGCCCTCCACCACGTAGGACACGCTGGTGAACAGGCAGGAATTGTCTGCTGGCACCACCCTCCTGGCCAGCACGGGCACGGCTTCCCTGACTGGGTGGGACATGGTTTTTTTGGCGATCACGGGCGAGTCAGGCTCGGGTTTGGATGTGTCCTCTTCGACTATCAGAGTGTCACCTGCCAGGCAGAGGGAGGGAAAGGTGAGAGRGATGTAAAGGGGTAAATCAAAGCTGCTGCTGCTCCTAAAACACAACAACACGGCTGTGCTGTCATGGCTAAAGATCACGGAAAAACATCATGGAATGATTTAGGCTCTTCAGCATCCCCCAATCCCACCCCTGCCATGGGCAAAGCACCTTCCACAATCCCGGGGTGCTCCAAGCCCCGTCCAGCCCGGCCTGGGACAGCTCCGCCCGTTTCCCGCAGCTCGGTATTCCGCTGGGAAACAGCCCCGGCCAACAGCCGCTGGCACCAAACGGTCCCCGCGGGACTCACCTGGCGTGGCCCGGTCCCCGTCCCCTCCAGCCCCGCGCTTCAGCCTCCGGACCCCCGGGAMGCAGCCAAAACACTTCCAGCGAGCAGGAAGCGCTGCCGAGCCGGGCGTCGACACCTCCCCCGGGACCAGGAACCGGCCGGACCGCCGGTTAAAGAGGGGTGTGCGCGCCGCGGCCTCTTTAATTAACGTAATTGGGGTATGCGAGCCCGCAAAGCGCCGCCCTTCCCTCACCCTCCTCTCCCCCGGGGGAGCGCTCACCCGAGTGGATGCCGAGCTCGCCGAGCCGCCTCTCGCCGTCGCTGAGGTCGAGGCTGCGCGGCGGGAAGCCGTGCAGGAGGCGCTGCGCGGGGGCGGGCACGCCGGTGAGGGCGGCGAGCGCGGCCTGCATGTCGCGGAGGCGGGAGTGCGGCGACAGCCCCGGCAGAGCGTGCGAGCCGCTCCGGGCCTTGCAGCGCAGCCGCAGCATCTCGGGGCCGCCGCCGCACCGCCCGCCGCCGCTTCCGCTTCCGGTTCCGGTCCCGGGGCCGCGCCCGGCACGCTCTCGCGAGAGCGCGCGGCGCCAGCCCCGGCGGGCGGCCAATCAGCGCGCGCGGCGGAGGGGTTATTTGCATAGCGCGAGGCGGCACCGCCCATTTCATTTGCATAGAGCCGGGCGCCGCACCCATCTGATTTGTACGGCGCGCCGCGGGTTTAATTTGCATGAAAGCGGTGGCACCGCCTATTTCATTAACCGGCACAGCCTATTTAATGTGCATATCGCCGGGCACAGCCCACTTAATTTGCATATCACCGGACACAGCCCATTTAATTTACATGAAAGCGGTGGCACCGCCTCTTTAATTAACCAGGCACAGCCCATTTCATTTGCATATCACCGGCACAGTCCATTTAATTTGCATGCAACTGGATACAACCTATTTAATTTGCATATCACTTGGCACAGCCCACTTAATTTGCATATCACCGGCCACAGCCCATTTAATTTGCATATCACCGGGCACAGCCCACTTAATTTACATATCACCGGCCACAGCCCATTTAATTTGCATATCACCGGGCACAGCCCACTTAATTTGCATACCGCCGGCACAGCTCCTTTAATTTGCATATCACCGGGCGCAGCCCGTCTAATTTGCATGTTACCGGTCACCGCTTGCCATTGTTTTGCCTAACGCGAGGTGGCGCTGTGAGCCGATCACCTCCCATCTCATTTGCATAGATAATTTGCATAGATAATTAGCATAGAGGCGCCGGCTCGGGTTCCCCCACTCTTCGCAGTCCCTCTCATTTGCATAGCGCTCGCGCTCCGGTCCCCCCCGCCCCCTTCCTCGCCCCGCCCACCGCCGCCCGGTCTCATTTGCATACAGCGCGCGCCCCCGCGCGCGTGACGCGCGCCGCTTTTCCCGCCCCTCCGCGCCGCTTTTCCCGCGTGTGCGGTGACCCGGGGCCCCGTTCCCGATCCCCGCTCTGCCGTGTGCGGGCTCCGCAAGTTCATTTGCATGCGATTTGCATGCGGCGAGGCGCGGGGCGGCGGCGCGGAGCCATGTCGGCGGCGCCGCGGGGCTGCGCCGGGGCCCCGCGGGGCAGGGCCGGCGAGAAGCAGTGCTGTGAGTAACGCCGGCGCGGGGGGATGTGCGGGGGGGGAGGGGCTGGAATCGCGGCGGCGAGAAGCAGTGCTGTGAGTAACGCCGGCGCGGGGGGATGTGCGGGGGAGGATGCGGTTGTGTCCCTAAAGGAATGGGAGAAATCGCGGTGGGGGGATAAAGCTGAGCGCGGCGCGGGGAAAAGCGCGCGTGTGCCCCAAAACGCGCATCCATCCCGCGCGGGATGCCCGTCCTGCTGTCCCCAAAACTCCCGGGGTTACCCTGTCCCCCTCGTCCCCAACCTCCCGGGTGTCGTATCCATCCCCATTCCCTGCTTTTCCCCCAAATCTGCGTCTCCGCGGGCGCTTTCGGAGCTCGCCCCGGCTGTTTGCTGAGAGAACGTGACCGTTTTGTTAAAAACATCTTTCGTTCGCCCTTGACGCTTCCTGCCCGGGCCGTAAATGCTTTTAACACTAAAAGCCCCATTAGGCTGCGATGCTCCCGGTCCGCCTCATTAGCGATTACCTGGGTGACCACAGAATTGTCACAACAGCTCATTAGCGGCAAGGACACAGCGCGAACCCGTTCGGGATGCTCGGAGGTGCTTTATCCCCCAGCAGATGGGATGACGCTGGGGTGGCTCTCCCTTTCTGCTCTCTGCAGCGCTGCTGACGCTGTTTTGGGGATGTTTTTTTGGTTTTCTTTGCAGCATGGGCTTCCTACATGACCAACTCGCCCACGCTGATCGTGATGATTGGGCTGCCCGCGCGGGGCAAGACCTACATGTCCAAAAAGCTCACCCGCTACCTCAACTGGATCGGGGTGCCCACCAAAGGTGAGGGTGTGAGYGTTTGGGGACATCCCTGCCCTGTGCCACCTTCTGGGGCCTCACCCCTCCTCTCCTTTGTGTCAAGTGTTTAATTTAGGGGTTTATCGGCGCGAGGCGGTGAAATCCTACAAATCCTACGACTTCTTCAGGCACGACAACAAAGAGGCCATGGAAATCCGCAAGTGAGTCCCTGTCAGGGGCAGGAYTGGGCTGGTGGCACTCAGGTCACTCTGAGTAAAGCTGCAGAAACGGGAGGGGAAGAGCTCAGATTGTGCAGGGATCCTGACGGGGATGGGTTGGGAGTTTGGGGCTGGCACAGAGCTCGAGGGGTTATGGACAGAGGTGCCCTAAAAATCTCTGGGGCTTTTAGAAAAGTGCAGGGGTGGGAGGGATGTTTTGGGATCCCTCCCTGTTGGTTCAGGAGCTTTGCCTTGTCTCTCGGGCTCTTTCTCCAGGCAGAASGAGAGGACACAGCCAAGGGAAATATGGGTTGGATATCAGGGAAAAAAGGATTTTATGGAAAGAGTGATAAAGCACTGGAATGGTCTGCCTGGGGAGGGGGTGCAGTCATGACCCCACAGATTGGATGTGGGGCTGGGGGCCGTGGGTTGCTTGAGGTGTTGGACTCGAAGAACTTGAAGTTTTCTTCCAACCCTGATGATTCTGGGATTCTGTGATGTTTTCCATCAGCTGTRCCCGTCCCTATTTCTGTCCCGCAGACGCTGTGCCTTGGTGGCTCTGGAAGATGTGAAGTCTTATCTCCTGGAGGAGTGTGGCCAAATAGCTGTAAGATCCTCTGCGCTAAAAATAAATTTACATCCGAGCAGTTCAAAGCTGCCTGGGGGATTTTGGGGACCTGACTTGGGGCTGGTTTGAAAATTTTGAGATAAACTTGCTCTTTCCTCGTTTTCTGCCAGGTGTTTGATGCGACCAACACGACTCGGGAGCGGCGGGACCTGATCTTGAGTTTTGCTAAGGAAAATGCTTTCAAGGTAGCGCTTCTTTGTGTGTTTAATTAGGTTGTGTGTTTAATTARYGGTGGCAGCTCCCYGGGGCAGCAGCTCTGCAGTTTGGGCTCTCAAATGTTCTCCCTCTCCTCGYCCCCAGGTGTTTTTTGTGGAGTCTGTCTGTGACGATCCGGAGGTCATCGCTGCCAACATCCTGGTGCGTGCTGCGCTTCCCGGGCCGGGCTGCTGTGGGAAACGGGGTGCTTGGTGCCAGGGCACAGCTCAGGGAGTTTGGGGAGCTCACAGGGAGCTCATGGGGTGCTCGGTGCTAGGGCATGGCTCGGGGAGTTTGGGGTGCTCAGGGAGCTCATGGGGAGCTCATGGGGTGCTGGGTGCCAGGGCATGGCTCGGGGAGCTCGTGGAGATCATGGGGAGCTCATGGGGTGCTCATGGGGTGCTCGGTGCCAGGGCATGGCTCAGGGAGTTTGGGGAGCTCAGGGAGCTCGTGGGGAGCTCATGGGGTGCTCGCTGCCAGGGCACAGCTCGGGGAGCTCAGGAAGCTCGGGGAGTTTGTGGGGAGCTCATGGGTAGCTCGGGGACTTCGGGAAGCTCAGGGAGGTCATGGGGAACTCAGGGAGATCGTGGGGAGCTTGGGGAGCTTGGGGAACTTGGGGAGAGCTCAGGGACCTCGGGGAGTTTTTGGGGAGCTCATGGGGAGCTCATGGGGTGCTCGGTGCCAGGGCACAGCTCGGGGAGTTTGGGGTGCTCAGGGAGCTCATGGGGAGCTCATGGGGAGCTCGGGGACCTCGGGGAGTTTTTGGGGAGCTCGTGGGGAGCTCATGGGGTGCTTGGTGCCAGGGCACGGCTTGGGGAGCTGGGCGAGCTTGGGGAGCTCATGGGGAGCTCGGGGAGCTCGGAGAGTTTTTGGGGAGCTCATTGGGAGCTCGTGGGGTGCTCAGTGCCAGGGCATGGCTCGGGGAGCTCGTAGGGAGCTTGGAGAGTTTGTGGGGAGCTCATGGGGAGCTCACGGGGAGCTCGTGGGGGACTCAGGGAGCTCAGGGAGAGCTCAGGGAGTTTGGGGAGTTTGTGGGGAGCTCGGGGAGCTCACAGGAAGCTCGGGGAACTCGTGGGGAGCTCGGGGTGCTCAGGGAGCTCGTGGGGTGCTTGGGGAGATCAGGGAGCTCGGGGAGTTCGTGGGGAGCTCGGGGAGCTCAGGGAACTCGTGGGGAGCTCTGGGACCTCGGGGAGAGATCAGGGAGCTCATGGGGAGCTCAGGGAGCTCTGGGAGCTCGTGGGGAGCTCGTGGAGCTCGGGGAGTTCATGGAGAGTTCATGGGAATCTTGCGGGGCTCAGGGAGCTCACAGGGAGCTCAGGGAGCTCTGGGAGATCGTGGAGAGCTCGTGGAGCTCGTGCGGAGCTTGTGGGGAGCTCGGGGAGTGCTCAGGGGAGCTCAGGGAGCTCAGGGAGCTCAGGGAGCTCAGGGAGCTCATGTGGAGCTCGTGTGGAGCTCGTGGAATGCTCAGGGAGCTCACAGGGAGCTCTGCCAGCGCCTCCCTGTCGCCTTTCACCTGGGCAGCAGGCAGTGGGATTTGCAGGTTTATTAAAAGCCGGAGATGCCGTTATGTGAGAATGTGGAAATCCAGCAGAGCAGGGGAATGTGTGACCTTGAGGCTCTGTCCTGGCAGGGAGGGCAGAGCTCGGAGCCAGCTCTGTCTGTCAGGGCCAAGCACTCCAAAGCCTTGAGAGTCACCCTTTGTTTCCTCTCCGGAGCAGGTTTTTCCTCAGGGCAGCGTTAAACAATGTGGATTTGTTTCAAAAAGGAGGGAATAATGTTATTTATCGTCGCTTTTGTTCCCTCTGAGGTTTGTTTAACTCTCACAAAGCTGTCTGTTGGGCAGGAGGTGAAAGTTTCCAGCCCGGACTACCCAGAGAGGCACCGGGAGAATGTGATGGACGATTTCCTGAAGAGGATCGAGTGCTACAAGGTCACCTACCAGCCCCTGGATCCTGATGCTTATGACAAGTAAGAAAATCCCTGATTAATCCCCGGACACATGAGCTGCTTCCCTGCCYGGGGCTCAGGATGCTCCAGCCCCTCTGCTCTCCCCAGGGGTGACTGCGTGAAGGTGACAGTGACACCAAAACTGTGGGAAAAACAAAAATTMTCTCCAATAACAWTTTTAATATTAAAGAATCAAGGGGATTCAAATGGGATCCCCCMWTTTTTKSGGGATTTTTTTTTKTTTTTCCCACTTTTTTGGTGATAATTGCACAGCTCTTGAATGGTTTGATTTGTGGGGATTTTTCTGTGTGTGAGCACGGAATAGTTTGGGTTGGAAGGGACYTTAAAGCCCATCTCTAAAAGCCACARRCAGGKACAMYTTCCAYTGTCCCAGATTGCTCCARCCTRGCCTTGGRCATGTCCAGRGATGGRACAGAAGGATTTTTGAGCCCAGGRGSAGCAGGGAYAGAGCTGCTGCCTTTCCTAGAGGAGGAGCAGCSTCCTCATGCTCATTCTTTCTTTGTCAAACCATCCCATGTGTTGCTTTTTTTATTTTCTGTTGGCTCCAGAGATCTTTCCTTCATTAAAGTGATCAACGTGGGCCAGCGCTTCCTGGTCAACAGAGTTCAGGATTACATCCAGAGCAAAATCGTTTATTACCTGATGAACATCCACGTGCAGCCACGCACCATCTACCTGTGCCGACACGGMGAGAGTGAATTCAACCTCGTGGGTAAAATTGGGGGAGACTCTGGGCTCTCCCCTCGAGGGAAGCAGGTACGTGCCTGGCAGCCCCTGATGTCACCAAAATTGGGGGGAAAACAAAGATTCTGTGACGGCGTTTTAATGGGACAAAGTCAAGGCGTTGCTTTGTTTTCTGGTCAGGGTGTACCACTGGAATAATTTCATCCACACACAGCTTGAGTGCAGAGAAAATCATTCTAGGACA